CCAGGATCCTGTGTTCAAGCTCCACCCCTGCCCTTTTCTATCTTGATGAGCATCATACCGGCGTGCGGTCGTGTATAACTACTGCATGGTACAGGTTAAAGACCCCAGGCTAGCATTTGTACTGCACTGGCTAAATTGCTCAGGTGGGAGACTTGTCACCCCTTTGAGGCAGACCAAGTTCTAGGCTGTATAAACACACGCACAACCCAATTTTTTTTGGTTTAAATCGTAAATGAGAAATAAGAATCGGTAACAGTATGGACGCTAATTATGCAAACATTGCTTGGATATGGGCTAGTTGGTTATACAGTGTGATAGTTTGCCGCGCTGCGTAGATGCAAGAAAAACGCACTTGATAAAATTTAAACTAAAGCAGAGAGAATAGACGAAAAACAACATACATGAATGGTGCAGACTGACAACTGTGTAATTTCTTTCTCATTTTTCTCCTCCACCACATCGCCACAATAATTTTTCAAAATAGGGTGCACATGAAGCGAAAGCTCGCGCTACAGAACCCAGCATTCTGGGTTCAATCCCCACCCCTGCCCGTGTCGATCTGGATGAGCATCGCACCGGTGCGCGTTCGTGTATCACTACTGCGTGGTGCACGTTAAAGACCCCATGCTAGCAGTCGTACTGCACTGACTAACTAGCTTACCTACAGGTAACAATGTCACCATGTTCTGGCAGACTAAACTCCTGCTGTATAAACAACTAACGACCAATTCGTTTGTCAAAATACGGCGTGGAAGGAGGAAGATGAGAAAGAAATTACACAGGTGTTAGTCTGCGCCATTCATGTACATCGTTTTTCTTCGATCTTCTGTTTTAGTTTAAATATTATCAAGTGTTTTTCTTGAATCTACGCAGTGCAACAAACCATCACAATAATTATAAAGGCCTGTAGGTAATGATAAATTGTGTTCCTGGTTACAGATTGCCTAAAAGCATTTGTTTTTAGGATTCACTTTGTAGGATTCATTTGTATGATTCACGACGGGGACGACGGTCCATTAACGGCTCCATCACCTCAAGAGCAGTTCGCCACGCAGTTCATCGCACAGCCACCTTACCACGTCTTCTGAGAGGCGATAGTGTTGTTGAAAATAAATGTCATCCATGTCAAACACAGTGGCGTGGCTTAAATACCTACGCCGACGGCGAAACACAAACAAAACGCTGCCATTTTGGACGCTTCTCCCTCATCTCACGTCCAACTTGCCCAAACTTGAATAGATCGGAGCCTTTTCCCATCTGCAGTGGCTTCTGCCACGTCACAATGACGTCGCAGCATATGTCATTGTGTCCCGAATATGCCACTCTCCGACCGCCTCAGACCCTCCGTTGTGACGTCACGACCTAGGAATTGACGGTGCAGGTCGTCATGCATGGCGCCGACCAATCGCGGCGGGCGGCGAGTGTATAACTAGACTGAATGTTTTGCAGCATTTACGAGACCTAACCTGTGCACCATTTATGAGAACTAGACATATACATCATTGACAAAATTACTTTGAGCCCATGACAAAATAATTATGCATAAAAAGTTTTAAAAACATAGGCACGGGTCGAAAGCGTTCCGTAGCCGCCCGGTAAACGGCCGCTGGTGTGCCGGTGATTACGAGAGATTGCGACGCTCTCGGCGCAGTCGAAGCGAGTGTGTGAACCGGCCTTTGAAAGCAAATGGTTCCCTGTCGAGTTTGGAGTAACTAAATCCGGGAGGTTTTCCAAGCTCTGGGGAGGTACACCTATGCAGCTTGCAATCTGAATATCAAAGGACGTCAATGCTTCCGTAACCGAATTTCCGACGTTGCACGTGGTATGTCACGACAATGGGACGCAACTGGGCCTTGCTATCCATGCCACCGTGTGAACCAGCCTCGCCAATTCAGGCCGAACCAAAGGAAAAGAAGTCGGCAATTACGGTCGTAACAATTAGAATGCCTTGGCAAGCATCTGCAATTGCGCGCGCCGTGAATGCCTCGCTTCTGGGCACGGCCACACGTGGCCAGACCAATCTGTCTGTGCGTTTGTCAAAACTTCCTGCTTTCAAAGAGTGTGTGTGGAACGGGGAGGGGTGGGGAAATACCGAGGCCTTCTTATTGCTGGGAGGGGAAGCAATTACAAGCGCAAGGACAACTTTCACCAATCACCCCATAATCAAAGACTGCTCTTTCCGGTCACCGATGGACGCAGATAAAGATGTAAAGGGGTACTCCGGCGATTTTTTGAGCTACCCCAACTAACTATCCTTTCTGAATCCCTAGCCTCTACCCTTTCGAGTATGCTATTTATATTTAGCATTACGAAATTCAGAATAGTTATAGTGAAATCAGCGGATAAAAATTATGAAAGAACTAACATACAAATATTCCCACACTTTTCAGTGCCGTGGCGTTAGTGGCAGGCAGACTCGAGAATCGAGCAGGCAGTCTAAAAAACGGACTATGCCTAGCATTTGTTTCGTGCCCCCCCGGAGGCCAGCTTCCAAAGCATTCATTTGACACCATGAAACTGCTTGTAATCAGTTTGGGAACAAAGCCTACGGTCCAAAGAGTTAACCCCTGCCTGCCGTTCACATTCCTTTTTCATTGCCACCAGTAGACACTTTGAATTTGAAAAACATTATGAGGACCACAATTGTAAATTTCATAACTTTGCGAAAAGAAGAAAGTTTTTGGACCAACATTTGAGAAACTATTTCAGCGACGTGCGCTGGTGTGTTTAGGAAATTTTCAGAGAAATCAAGGACCACCAAGAAAACACCAGAGTACCCATTTAATTGCGCATCTACGAAGATCATAAATGTACAGTTAAAGTGTGGAAAGAAAAGTATGAGCAGGCCAACACCTTACACTTACGGTTTTGGCCGTGACCATCAATGGCTGAAAAGGAACAGGCCTGTTCAACACATCGCAAGGAGCGTCCGTACAGACCTACACCATACAGTTATGGTTTCGGAGAGGACTGTCGTTGGCCGAGAGCGTAAATATAAGTTTAACACATGGCAACAAGCGGCTGCAGAAAGCTTACATTGCACAACTACGGTTCTGAGCGCAACTGTCAACTTCTGCAAACAGATATACAGTCAACACATGGCAAGGAGCATTCGCGCAGGCTTAGAACATGCAGACCATCAAGTGCTACAAAGCACAAACATAAATTGTACGTGGCAAACCAACAGAAGGCGTCTGGCACATTTCAGAAGCGGGCTGGGGATTAATTTCGAACCCCCTGGAGATCTTTTGACGTGCAGCCGAGATTCCACAATAAGCTTCCGTCAGATTGCGGGCATCTTAGCCGGGATTCGAACCTACTACCTAAAAGTCTGTAGGCCGGCACCTCGGCTCGGGGTCACCGAGGCGGCCGTGACAGTCAATTGGTACAAACAAAAATGTAAGGTCAAAACGGGGCAAGGAGGATTAACGTAGAGGTTTAGCAGTAAGTTCGCAATTTCTGAGGTATTGATGATTGATATGATCGAGCTTTGGCAAACTGACCAAGTGCCTTCCGCTAACCGCATGCAATCTCCGTTTTTGTGTTGTGAACGATAACCGCTCACATTTTCAAGCTTTGTGCAAGCGCTGCAATTTGCGAGGTTACTATACAAAATAAAACTAAAAGGAGAGAGCATTTTAAAATTTGTTCTACAAGGTATGCCATTTTTGTTTTCGAGTCTCTCGACTGACTTTCCTGCATCCTTCAAAACACAACTTCTGAGGCGGCGGACACAAGACACTCGGGAAGTGTCGTTCGTACGCGCATGCACCTTCCTTTATTTACTTTCATTTATTTCATGTCTCCCGCGAGGAAACGGAAAAACCACGACGACGGCGACGAAAAAAGAAAAAACACACACAAAACAGGCTTTTTTTTTTTTCCCCGCAAATTCCGCGTAAACGCATGCACCCTTGGAGGATGACAAAACCCCGTGTGACATTTCGTGAAACTCAGCTCGGTGTTACAGCTCCCAGACAGCTCGAATACGTCACGGGGAGCACCCTCCCCCCTTTTTCTGTCTACTCGGCGCCGACCCAGAAATCCCACGAACCCACAGAAACGTCGGGAGGTGAAATACGAAATAAGGCGAATAAATATATCCGTCTCTACTCCGCCCTATGGATAGAAAGGAGATCGGCTTTGAATTAGAAAAGACCTGCGATTCTACGAAGTGGAACATACAATTGCAGACCTACTACCAAACACAAAGTCTAGACTTCTTTTTTTTTTGGAAGATGTTGCGGCTGTGGTAACGCCACCACGAGCAACGCAACGCCTTACGTCAAGATGGGGAGGGGGAGCTCCTGGGTTCTGTGGCAAGGCCAAAAGAGAATGTGGGCTCAAACCCGTGGTCCTCCGAGGCTCTAAATATACGCGTAAAACAGCCCCGCCTGCCTGCTCTCGCAGATGAGTTTCTCTGGAGGGAAAGGGAAATGACGAGGAGGAGACGGGGGCCAACACTTCGCTTCTCTACGACTGAACGACGTCAAGCTTAGGTCGCGACCCGGCGTTCAAGATCCGCCCTGACCGTCGTAGGTCGGTCTGGTCACCATTTGCACCAAAAATCGCGGCGAGCCCGCTCAAGATGACTAAAGAAAAGAACAAAAAAGGGTGCCGAGCCGAGCCTCTCGAGGTTAGGCTTAGCGCGCGCCCCGGTGATTCGTCGGTTCGCGGTGTTACAACCGCGGCGACGCGTTTGACAGCCACTTCGAGAGGTCGGCCGGCGTCGCTTCGTGCGAGCCGACCTCGTCGTTTCAGCGGTCCGGGTGCCGTACTGGTGCTCAGACGCGTCGAAACGTCGGGTCAAACAGACAAGTCCGCCCAAGCGGCCATGTTATCGTCGTGAGCGTCAAACAGCAACAAAAAATACCAGTGTCGGAAAGGGGTTGAACTCGGGCGAGACTTTTTCAGAGTTTGGTGCGGGATGGTTCGGGGGGATTTTCGGCGTGGGTGCGAGCGGGGATTTCTAGGAGGGTTGTTTGGAAAGGGGTTCCTACCTGATGTAAGGCTGTGAGTCCGTCGACGTTGGTCGTATTGATATCGGCACCCCTCTCGAGCAGACGCGAAACCTCGGCGGTATCCCCGGCAGCACAAGCGGCGAGAAATATGCACCCATCGCTGAATTTGATTTTCTGCGGTTTGTCCGGCGGTAGGTCGGCACTCTCCTGGTTGGTTTCGGAGTCTTCCCAGCGTTTTAGCTGTTCTTTCCTCTTGAAAAGCGAGTTGCTAGGCCGAGATTCCAAAGACATCACTCGCTCGTAGTCCTACGGTCCTACGGCGCCGCATCGAGAAAAAAAAATAAACACGAAACTCCCGCGACTCCCACCAGATGACAGCACCACCGCGGTCTGACCTGATCTCTCCACTGGAGGACTGAAGCGACTGAAGGAAACAATTTTAAATAATCTATAAAATATTCAGCGTATCTTTAAGGTAGAGGCTTTACGTGGTCAATCAACAAGCTAAATATTGTCAAAGTGTATCAACGCTTTTTTTTTCTGTATGCTGAACAACTTGATGCTTGGTCTGACACTGCAACCTATGACACACATCTTAAGAAATGCCTCGAAGTTTCTTTTCGTTTTCAATACGCGTAAAATTATTTAATTCAAAATTAGATAAATATAAAGTTAGCAGAGTGCAACTTTTTTCGAGCTAGACTCTAGTTCGAGCGTTTGAGCTCGCGGTCAGTGGGTCGACTTCGGTCGACAGGGGTCGCCACTGGTGTCAATCGCCATGTTTGTTTTAGAATTTGTGTTGTGAGTGGCTCTGTTCTACAAAACTGTAAAAAGGACTGCTTGTTTAATTTTATTTAGACTTCACTAACAAAACCTGGTTCATCAGGTGATTCCCCGCTTTTCTTTCATGCCCTGCTTTGTGGGGTTCCCCGCCGCGAATGTGTCCCGCACCGTTGCTCGCGGGAGCGCTCTCCGATGATGCTACTTCGGTTACTTGTCAAAAGATTTAATTTCTTTTTATTTTTTGCTCGGGAGGATCGCGGGGTGCCCAAAACACTTCCGTACGTTTCCGACAATCAAGAGCTGAATGATTGCGTCCTGTGAAAAGTCCGCGGTGGCGTTTCCCGACCCGCAGAAGAGAAAAGGCCAGTCGCAAAAATGCGTAGCGCCTTGCTCGATGGCTTGCCATGCTAACCCGCTCTTCGAACTCGCTCTAAAAGTAAGCTTGCGGCGTTTGGAGCAATACATCAGACCTGCGGCCGGATCCGAGCTTGCCGCGAGTTTAAGTAGCCTTTTTTTTTTTTTTGCGAATTTTAGTTTCTTTATTAGGAAATTTCTGAGCATTAGAAGCACTGGTGATCCGTTTCATGAGGCATAAACTTTTCTCTCTTTACGTTTCGCCGTAGTTTCTTTTTTATATTTTTTTCAACGCCTTTTTGACGTAAGTTGTTACCATTTAAGAAACTTGCACGCATGAGCAACAGCTCTTTTACTGCCACTTTTGTTTTTTGGTTGTGATGGGGATTCCCGATTTGGGTCCTTTTGCGTTGTTGAAGTGTGTCCACTCGTCGGCGTGAAACTGCCCAATTACAGCATCGTGCAAAAAGTTTCAACCGAATGTTCGTTTCCTTTTTAATCCTACTGTTCGTTGCGGTTGAGTTTTATTGGATATGAGTATGGTCAATTTTGCTGTCAAGTCTTATCAATCTGAGAATGCTTTCCAATTAGTGAAGAAACATAAAAAATGCAGGCGAGCTGGTGAATGCCATTCATAGTAACCCTGAGACGTAGGAACAATAAAAAACAAAACGCATAGAACAGCGAAGTGTCTAACACAGCTGTGTTAGACACTTCGTTCTGTCTGTTTTTTTATTGTTCCTACGTCTCGGGGTTACTATGGATGCATTTCAAGTAAGCTTGACTCTGTATTAGTGTAGTGTACTCGGCATGCAGCACACTTCTTTTTGGAGGTGTCGAAAGTCTGCAAAGAAGGTTGTGACGTTTTCACACAGCTCTTTTAACTCATATAATGCTTATATTTAACCACTTGGTAACACTCTTGGATCAAACACTGTAAACTTCATGAATGTTACTGCAACTGTTTGTGATAAGAGTGCTCTGATCCGTCGTTTCGTAAAGGGAGGATGCTGCGGTGTTTTACAGTTGAAGACTCGCACCCATCTTTGCCTCTTCATAGGCTAGAAAAGATTGCTAAGACTAGACAGGACAGAAAAGCGCAAAGCTGGTGCCTGCATAAAATTTGCATCAAAACTGTTTAATGGGAAGTAATTTGTCTCGTTTATTTTTGCCCCCTTAGTAGTTTCTTGGGCCCTTGGGTCATTATAGCCAAAGTTTTCGAAACTGGAGGTTCACTACGCCCCTAGGCCAGTCCTACGGCGTGTTTCTTTTTAAGCTGTCTTTTTTGAAGAGTTTAAATCATTTGTAAAAAAAAATAAAAGAAAACAAAATTCAGTTGTCTTGGGACACTAGAGTATTGAAGCATGTATGTGCCATCGTGAGTGCTTCAGATTCAACGTCTTAACACTGCCGTTGTTTTCTGTCCTTGTAGTGCGTTAATTGGAGTGTTAGTTTAAATTTCCAATGATCTGGTTTCCTTCTCCTTGTAGAGCATGACATCGCCATCACCGTCACAACCATTTGGATATGGCCAACCAACAGGGAGCTCGCTCAGTAAGTTTGCCGTTTAACTTTTGTAAACTTTTTTTTATCGAATTTATAGCTGGGTAAAAACCAAGATGCATTGAAACAGAAACAAACCTGAGGGATCTGAATTTATTTCCAGAAAAGTTTTAGTCAACTGGAAAAAAAAGCAACTGAAAGCCAAGTCGGGCGACAATTAAGATCAGTGGTTTTAAAACTTTTCAATCGCGAGGAATGCCTATCTTTGTAGTTCGATAGCATAAGAACCCTGTCCCGGTCTCAGCAATGACCCAATAAAGCAGTGCCAAAGCCCGTAGACCCTGTAAGTAATAATTTTATACTAATGAGTGTGTGTTCCACAGTTCTGCATGACTCAAAAATGCTAGAAATGATGCTTAATTTTTTTTCTTTTTTAATTTGGAGTTTAGTTAGTCTGTTAGTGTATTCTGAAGAACCCGTGGTAACCTAGTTTGAGAACCTATGACCTAAATTGTCGGTAGAAACTAAAAAAAAAAGTGGCTGCACCTATTTCCTACGGGCAAGCACTGCCGCGACAAATGCAGCTCGTCCATTCAACAAGGAGTTGCAAAGAAACGGTTTGGCTCAAAAACCTAATTGTGAAGGCAGGCACGTAGCCAGGGGGGGGGGGGGGGGGGGGCATGGGGCTCGGTTCCCCCCCCCCCGAAATCTTCCATTTTGCTGGGGCCTCCTCTCCCCCTCCCCCTCATGCAGCATTTTTGTCATGGGCTACGTAGCCCCCTGAAACAAAATCCTGGCTACGTGCCTGGAAGGGGTAACGATGAAGTGACAATCGTGCTCATTATTTCCGTGACGATGGCGTTTTCCAGCCTTACCGTGTTTCTGGGTGCCTCGCCATCTGCAGGATCCGCCCTGCAGGTAGCAGCGATTAGCCCACTGTGTGTTCTATGGGGAAAGTAGGTGCACAGGGACTTTTCTTAGCGTGAGAGCGGCCATAAATCAAGGAGAGAGTCTATGAAGTTTGTGAAAAATTGGCACGAAAATTAGTCTGAAAAGAGCATGTTCATATTTTAGTCACCAATTAGAAAGAGGAGACATGACTATACAAAAAGAGTGTTGTATCTTTTTAATTCGTACCTAGTGGCACAAATAGCTTCTTTCTTTTTTGTATTTAACCCTTTGACGGCCATAATTTTTTCCCAAAACTTTTTTTTTCAGTGGTCTGATTTTGTTTCCAGAAAAAATAGTATAAAGAAACAGTTAATCCACAGGTCTTTTTGTAATTTTCTAATGAGAGCACAAAAGATGCTTGCAATTTGTTCAGGTTCAGAAGCATCAAATGGAACTATTAAAGCTGAAAATTTGTCACCTTTCTTCCATTCAATTTCATTTTGGCGCGTCAGCCACCGCCGACTTTCTAGTAGCTTCGGATTCCGAACTGAAGTTACTTAACAGAGCTTCTCCATCGCTGGTGAAGTCTCATCGTCTGACTTCACTCTGAGAAGCGTTAAAAGTAGCAGACGACAGGCGAAGCGTCTAATTCAATAGTCCCAGCAAAGTGAAACACAATGCGAATGTAACGTTTATAGTTTGCCGAAGATAAAACAAACAGTAACACCTCCCCGGCGCGTGCGAGGTCTCGCGTTTAGGTGGCCACTTTCAAATGTGTCATCGCCGCCGTACCTGCACGGTGATAGCTGCCAAAGGGTTCAGTCAAGGACGTAACAATCCCAGCTGCATTGTTCCAACTGCTGATGTGGTGTGCCTCAGTCATTCGGGGCTCTCCCCTCTGTGATGCCTGTGGACATTCGGGGAGCAGACGCACAAACAGAAAAAGGAACGAAGGGACGAACCTTCAAGCATGCGAAGGAAGAAAGAAATGGGTAGAGATAGAAACCAAGACACGAGCCAACAAACACGGCAACTGCGAAAGAAAGGAACAAAGAAGCACGCTAATACTCTAAGAATTAAAACAACAAAAGGGTCAAGAAAAAAAAAAGAAAAAGTTGTACAGATTTTTTTTTATTCAGGTTTTCCAAAAAAGTTTACAGGCTTTTTCTTCGTTGCAAAAATAAACTCTGCATCACCGAATGCTCATCCTCCGCCCAAGTGTAGCACCAGCCAGACGAACCAGATGCCAAAGTTTAAGAGCTCTCCGTTATCTTCTTCAAAAGTTACGAGCGATTTTCGTAAGTTTTCAATGGGAAATGGACAGCTGACCGAGCTCTCGAATACGTAGAGCTGAATGGCCCCAGCTTCCAAAAGCTGGCTCCATTTTCTCATTAAAATGTTCAGAAAAACACTTACCATAAAGTACCGAGCAAATGCCCACTCAAAATTTGAAGATACTTGCGAAAATATAGGTGATAGGAGCTTGGGAGGTCATCAGTTTTACATATATATGTACTGTGCATATCTTTTCAGATGTTTAAAATTTTGGGGGTGGGTGCTTAGTGTGGAATGGGCGGCTCTACGGTATAACTTTTGAACGAGGTAATGGCTAGTTCTAAAATTTTGGCTTCTAGACCAAACCACTGGCGCTAGGTTTAGGCGGAGATTGAGCGTTCGGTGATGCATAGTTTACTTTTGGAATTAAAAAAAAACTGTAATTTTTTTTTTGGTACACGCTGGATTTAATGGCGTAGAACGGTTTCAGGTGACATACTTCCGGCCGAAATCTCGCCGGACGCCATGTTGAAGAACTTTTGCCCTACGTCTTTTTATGCACAGAGGCAGTGCTCTCCATCTCGCCCAAGTTCTTTCCCGTTGTGATCAACTGTGTCTGCTGGTGTAGTCCGCGATACAAAACGGGATCCTCCAGCATTAATTTTTTTACGTACCGGTCTTTATTTGGAGTGCAAACGAGCCAGTGCTCGAGAGGTTGACCCGTCGGCAGCCAAAGTGACCCCAGAAGTCCGATTTGAGTCGTGGGTGAGAGCGAGCTCGGCTGCTGATTGGATGTCACGTCGCAGCTTTCTGCTAACTGCGCGTTATGACCCAATGAAAAAAAAAAAAAAAATTGACCTGTTTGTTACGATTGGGCAGTGCTTTAGTGAGAACTCACCAACGCAGGAATGGCGAGAAAGGTCGCTAGACCTCCGACGCGCTTGTCTTCAGCGCTCCTTCATCTACTGATCAAGATCAGCTTGCGTACGGCAGCAGAAACAACTTGAGATTTGCAAAGGAAGCACGTGCTGTGAGTCCCTTCCATCGTAAAATAGCGGACAATCACGGTTTGTTTGGTGCCACTTTGCCGCAGCACTTGGTTCGTATTATATAATCTACTTTGTTTTTTTGTCGGTCCCTTAGCAGACGGGTGTTTCGTTGTTTCATTTTTGTCTGCAAAAAACTCTTCTTGGCACACAAAGCCCAATCTTTGCTTTGTTAGTAGACAAACTGTCTGAAAACGATATCTTAACTCGCTCCGTGAGAGACGAATTGGATCTTGCCTTCACTCACAAGGTGACCAAAATTGCACAACGGCAGATGCCGCTGGGACAAATTCGAAAGGCGAGAGAAGATAGTAAGCATGGGTTCATGAGGCCTAAATGCATCCTTGGTTGAACTCATTGAATTCTGTTGCTGATGGTTCTGCATTTCACCTACTCCAAAAAACTATTCCAATAACTGATCGTCTGCTTGCAAACCAATTAAGGAGGTGGGGGACACTGTTCATCAACATGGCAGAACGTGGCTTAGTGGAAGGGAAAAGGCGTCTTGTGAAATTGCTTGTTTTTCTCATAAAATATGACTGACCACCATAGCTAATTCAATGTCGCGTGAACGTCACGTGACCCTTTGGAAGGAGAGCAGGGATGCTTGGGGCTCATGGTCACACGATGTTTGTAGCGCTGGATTGAGTGTGATGGCTTGTATCGTGTGCCACGGTTCATTGTAAAGTGGAACGGAGTTTAGTAGCTTGGATGGCAACTTCCTAGTTGTGAGATACAATCAAGAAAAATAGGTGATCACCTGTCCACATTAACAGTGTGTTGTGGTTTGTACAGAGCGCGACACTGTTAGCGCAAACAAGGGATCGCCGGTTTTTCCAGTTTTATTCTCTGGAACCAAGGGATGTCTTCCAAGTTATTATTTCCACGGAAAGAGCTCATTTAGTTCTTTAATGTAAGCGATAAAATTTTGTGCTCGTTAATAATATTTAGAAGTAAAATGCGAAAATGCGCCGATGTCGTGTTCGCGCTAACAGTGTCGCGATGTGTACATGCTATCTTGAAGCGTTCTGATGCACAAATGAAGAAGGCAAACAGAAGCAAACCAACACTGTTTTCTGTTGGGGTGGGATCTGGCAGATGTCCTTTGTTTTCTTGTTCGTAATATTAAGTTTATTGCATTTTTTTCTTTTTTTCATTTAGCTACATTTTGTTTTCTGAGAGCACTTCTGAGCTTGTGTGTGAGGACAGGCAGCTCATGAAATAACATTGCGTAAGCTTAGAAAAACATGACACAAGCAAAATACACTAGAAAGACTTACTCGTACAACCTGAAAGTTTTCATAGCTGCAGGTTATCACAATGTACTTGCATAACGTAAATGTTTATATCAATTCCGCAAATCCACAAGAAGCAAAAAAAAAGTACCCAGACAAGGCCAAGCAGAAAAGGATGAAGGTCGCTATGACGAAGGACCAGAAATAATTATGCGGATAGAAACCGAGGAAGAGGAGGGGACGAGTAGGTGCGGGGGCGCCAGTGCATCGAGCTCTGGTTGGAACGATGACTGGGCAGATGCAAAGCCTTTTGTCTTTGTCTTCTCGTTTTTTAAATGTGCTCAAACTGCGAGTAGAGAGAAAGGAAGCTAGCATTGCATCCACCCAGTAATAAAAACCAAAGCCCGGCGTTCCGACGTCCCCTCCTCTCTTTCCGTACCTGCCTCTATAAGCGATTACTCTCCTAAATTCTCTCTACAGAAAAATTGTTGCCAATCATTTGATTCAACCCATTGGAAATTATTACTGCGTGCAACTCGAAGAAAGCAAAACTGCTAAAAGACGCAGTTTAACATTTGTGGACGCTTCCACCCTCGAACTCCCCTTGTTTCTCCTCTCTTCCCGCAGTCCCCTTCTTCCCCACGTCGGTGTCCCAGCAGCAGGCGGTGCTGTCGAGCGCGGCCTCTCGGGGTGGCCCCTTCCCGGACGTCTTTGGCGCAGACAAGAGCTCCTTTGGGGAGCTGGGCCTGCGCAGCGCCCTGTCGGGGGCCCTGTCCGGGGCCGGCAGCGCCCAGTTCGGGCCCCCCTCGGTGGCGGGCCGGCCCCACGCGACCCCCACCAGCCTCTCTGGTTTCCCGCCGGTCTCCTTGCCACCTCCCCAGCAGGCGTCCCCAAACAGGTGACTCACCTGGTCTCCGCAAGATTCCAGTCGCGTGCAATCCCCGCTGTACGAGATAGATTCCGGCTGTATAATATTCTAGCTGCAGTATGGCGTCACCAGTAGGTGTCGCCCTGCTACGGTTATGCTACGGCTGTGCTACAGCAAAAATTGGCTTAGAAGGGCGAAGCGAGGAGTCATGCCTTTGATTTTTGGCTTCTAGGTTAGGTGGGGCGAGCTACCTCCCGATATAAAGGGTACAGCCATTAGCATCCATCCATCCACCCCATCCGGTAGCACTTAGCAGTACCCAGGTAGCACTGCCAAACCGAGCCAATCCATGTGCAGCCAACGTAGACTCTAAAATGGTGGCTTCTCGGCGGTGTTTCCTGCTGATCGCTCGCGAGTCGCGACGGTTTTGTCCGAAAGGTCTAACTTTCGGACTTTGAGCTGTCCGAAACATTGGTCGTGAATATGCACCATTTTTGTCAGGTAGGTCACAATTCCTCCTTTACCTAGGTCTGAAATATGGAACAAGCCCGAATTATCGGCGTACAAAAAATCGGTCAGTGACTGTAGTCTGATGTTTTGGTTTTGTGATAGCTGCCATGGCCACGGTATCAGTGTGGGGGCAAACTTTTTAGAAATAGCACCTGGGCAGTGCTATTTTTAGAATGGGCTATTATTGGATGTTTTGCATGAACAGAAAATAATGCCTAAAATCTAGATGGGCTTCCTTTTGGGGGGTGTAGGTTATCTATCGGGTTTTTACGCTATACACAATGTCAGCACGATTCTGGCTATAGACGTTTGCAAGCTGCCTCTTCTCAAAAGCTACTCTGGCCAATGTATTTGCAAAATGCTTTGCAAAAGGAAGGCTAGAAGATCGGTGGGTTAAATGGCCTAACAAGAAACAAAATTCATAATATTTTAGTTTGAAGGGGAAGGGTGCAAATGTTTCTAGGCCAGGTGGCGCAAGCTACTGCCCGATACTACAGGGTGGAAGGGGGCAGCGAGAGTGCGCACATACCTCAATGTGCGCACCCTCGCAGCCCCCTCTTCACTCCAGTTTTGATAAAGCAAACTACACCGACTTGACATAACAATATTAAAAGTTTAATCTGACGTTTTGTCTCCCATACAAGAGACATCATCAGTGTATGTTTCAGAAACACGAAAGAGAAGAGTACAGAAACCAGAAGGCTATTTAAGGACGTCCGCATACACTTCGGGAAGAGTGCCTCGGTTTGCATTGCAGGCGGATGCATCACTACGAATGCACCATGACTGTTCACGATAGTACTTCGATGTCGCCGATTGAAAAAGGCGCCGAAAAAGGTGGGGACCGTAGACAAGTTGAACAAGACATGGTGCCTTGCCTTGTTCAACTTGTCTATGGCCCCAGTTTTCTTTTTGGGGGCACCTTTTCCATTCAGCAATTTGAACCAGGTGACCCAATTATCCACTCTGCTACTATGACGCTCTGTCGCACGACCTGCGCTACGTGCATGTGGTGTTGGAAGAGTGTTTGAGGGGAGCTTGCGCCACACTGGCTGGGTGGCGCAAGCCGCCACCCGACTGAAAGGGTCGACATGTGTGCATCCATTCGTCCATTGAAAATATCTACAACCCTTTCTCTCTTTTTTTTTTCTCTATCACCCGCGTAGCCGGACGATGCTGACGATTGGTTCCAGGGGTCTGCCGGGACAGCGGCAAGTCGGTCCCGACATTAACAGGCTGGTCGGGCTCGGCGCACCACCGAGGGCAGGGTGAGCGCTTCACTCGCGTTCCAGTGCTCCAGAACCGCGCTAACATGGTCTATACATCAGTTACCGGTAGGCGTATTCGGAAAATCTTGTGGAGTTCCTTGTAATGGCTGACTAGTTTTTGAATAAACACTACACAGCCATAAAGCATCGAACAGGAATAGATTTTCGTTCACTGGAGTTTGCCTTGGGTAACTTCATAAGGCTTGCATTCCTTTTCTTTCATAACTCCGTGTATTTCTCCTGACCGGATGACTTCACCCTTTAACCTGGGGTGAAAGCGCTGCTCCAATTGCGCTATTGTGCACGAATCCACTGCCAAGCGCAAATGTTGCACTAAAACTAGGCCAAAAAGTTTTTTTTTTTTTTAGCTATCAATGCAGTGATGAGAACAGGCGCCAAGTGCCTGTTTTCATCTAACGAGAATGGTCACGATATATTCCAGGCCAGGTACACAGACACAGTGTACCGTTTCGTTTTGTGGTCTCATGTTGATGAGCTGTCAAGTGCCAGCAGTGCGAGGGAGAACCGCGCGAGTTGGTTGTTTAAGTCGTCCCTTTCGAACGCGAGGAAAAGTATACCGTATTTGGACGAATATGAACAACGCACAATGAAATTTGTGCGTTAATTTCTGTTCCCCGTACCAGTGTCTACGAAGCACTTATTTGGGCATGTTGCTTTGTATCCTCGGTGCCACAGCTCGGCCAACAACGGCATGTTGGTGTCTGATCTCTGAAAATAGGATATGCATGGGTGGCTTTTTCGGAAGTATGCTAAAACATCTTTTCTTCGTTTAATTTTTTTTTTGGCACAAAGGCCTTTAGCATTGCCGCATATATTCCAATAATTGCGCACGGAGGAGGAGGAGGGAGGGAGTGGGTCGTTGCAGTGGGCCATGAGAGCGGTGGGTGCTCTGTTGTGGCGGGCTTTTGGGTGCCGCTGACCCCAGTGACGCCACTGGCCTGAAGTTTGACCTGGCTCCAAGATTTACTCATGCCGCTACAAAGCTCGACTTTTCTGGCTCCTGAGCCGCTCCTAAGCAGAGCTGTTTCTACTCCATAGCTGCTCGGAAGGGGCATCTTTGCTGCTCCCAGACTTGCTACAAGAGGCTAAAGCTTGCTTCCGGCCCTGTTTAACAAAGTGAACAAGGAAAAGATCATCTCTTGAGTGACGGAGAATCCACTCGGTCAAGGTTGCCGGAGATTGAACGCAGAGTGGCTGCAAGTCTCTGGAGTAAAACAACGGGAGAAAGAAAGCAAAAAAAAGTGCTGCAGCCAATGCCCACTTTTGAACCCTGTAGAGGTTTAATTTGTTACGTTAAAAAGATTGCAGTGCAGTTTGTAAAGAAATAGAAAAACCTAAAAAAAAAAGGATGACTTTTTTTTTGTGTGTGTGTGTGTGGTTTTTTTTTGAGTGGTGATCCGGAGTGTGAGCATTGACGTACATCGGGGGCTTTTTGTTCGTTCCCCAGAAAAAAGTGCTTGTAGTTTGGAATGTGAGGGTCCTGAATTCAAAGCAGGTTTTTGAGCGAAAGTCTCCATTTCCTGGGCCTTCATTCAGATACAGAGGCGTGGTGGAGTTCGAGGTTGTGCTGTATGCGAGAGCTAGATCCATCTGGATGATCCCAGGGGACCATGCTTTGTCTTCGAGGTTTTTTTTACCACCCGGGAAAACATTCCGAAATACTTTGTTAAAGCTCCGTCCGTGAGCTCTCTTCTTTATGTGACTGATGTCCTGGGGTAGTATTTGGCCAGAAGAAATACGTCATTGATTGAAATCTCGAGGAGGTGGGAGTTGGCAAGGTGGCACCTTTTTGTTTATCGTAAGTGGAGACGCTCCAAGCTTCGGTGTTCTGTGTATGTCTTGCAAGCATGTCAGAAAAAACATTTCTTCCAAAAAAACGACAACACTTTTTTGGGAAATATTTACCGTATTTACTCGCAGAATGAACGCACTTTTTTTTCCGAAAAATCGATGCAAAGTTAGGGGGGGCGTTCATTACGCGAAGTAAATTTTTTTCGTCCGTGTTTATTCGCATAATGAACGGACTTTTTATCACAAAAAATCGACGTAACTTCTTATCTCTTTGCGCGCGGCGCGCGTCCCGTAACCAAACTGGGCTGTGCAAAAAAAGAGAAAAAAAAGCTCCTTTTGTTTTTTTTTTCATAGTTCCTTGGGCATTTTTCTTTTTGCCGCCTGTTTTTCGCAAGCTGTTTCGTTTGCTTAGGCGAGTGCTTTTCCGCTTATCGTTCTTATCTCCTTGCGCGGCGCCAGACGCGCGACCCCCCCCCCCCCTCCCCCTCCGTAACCAAACTGCGCTGTGCAAAAAAGAAGAAAAAAAAAAAGCTCCTCTTTGTTTTTTTCTCTTAGTTCGTGGGGTTTTTTTTCTTTTTGCCGCCTTTTGCAAGCTGTTTCGTTTGCTTAAAGGGCTTCTCCGCTTCTCTTTCTTACCTCCTTGCGCGCGGCGCGCGACTCCAAAGTCCAGACTGCGCTGTGCAAAAAAGAAAAAAAAGAAGCTCTTTGTTTGTTTTTTCTCTTAGTTTCGTGTTTTTTTTTTTTTCTTTTTGCCGCCTTTCGCAAGCTGTTTCGTTTGCTTAGAGGGCTTCTCCGCTTCTCTTACCTGCTTGCGCGCCGCACGCGACCCCGAAGTCCAGACTGCGCTGTGCAAAAAAAAAAAAAAAAGCTCTCCATGTTTCTTTTTTCTTGCTTCGGTTTGCTCTTCTTGAATTTTTTTACGCCTTTTGCAAGGCGTTTTGTTCGCCCATGCATTCGCGACCTCGCTGCACCAGGATAGAAAAGTGCATTCATTTCGCGCGCGTGGGGGGAGGGGGTCAAAATTTTGACGTCGGAGTTGGGGGTGCGTTTATTACGAGGGTGAAAAAAAAAGTCGAAATTTTGTGAGCCGACTTGGGGGGTGCGTTCATTACGCGAGTGCGTTCATTGTGCGAGTAAATACGGTAGGTCGCAAGACCCGCTTTGGGCGTGACAACATTTTACGAACTGCAGCGCAATCTAGAAGCCCGTGTTCGTTGCTCCAGGATTTGCTCCCGTTTCATGACAGTCTGTGCAGCCAACGCGTTGCATCCTTGAGCAAGGAAGGAACCCGCTCTTGTTGTGTTCACTACTGTACATCTTAGGGTTAACTGGAATAGAGGCAGTTGCAAATTAGGTGCTCCATTTAAATTTTTGGTGCATGTACGCTCCAAGAAAACTGAGCCTCTCGGTCGAGTTTGGGCCGAATTTCGCGATGTGTCTGGACATTGGGTGCTCTTTTTCTATCCTGTGCCGAGTTCCGACTACCGGCTTGGTTGTTTTTGGCCATGCTGGTATTTTCTACTTGAAAGCCCGTCCAGTTTTTCTTTGTTTGGGCGCAGCACAGGTACAAGTGTGGACCCATAGTTTGAATGCTTGGTTGCACTGACGCCTCTTCATCTTCGCCTCTTTGCAGGTACACGGATCAAAGTTCGCTATGGAGGCAAGTGATGACTTTTGTTTTTTAGCTTTTGAATTGAAGGGTGTGGCGGAGTGGCTGACGCTCTTGTCGACATTTGGATTATGGAAATGTGGCGCTTGCCATTAACCTTTTATTAAGGAGATACACAAAAATTGCTCCTAACATTTCTTTTTAAGATATTCACAGTTAACAAATTCAAATAAAAGAACAGAGCTGAAATAAAAAAGAATCGTAAGTTAAACTTGAAAGTTATAGCTTTGTTGACTGTGGGTAGCACCGGACAAAGCCTCTACGGATCGGTATAAAATTCCGATAATTATTGCACATATGATAACGTCAAGTAAAATGGCTACCTATCGCAAAATAACAGTGGAAAGAAAAAAACACGCCTTTATTTATGATCCCAAAATTTTTGGGGAAACGCCATTATCAGCTGCCTCGTATTTGCGTGCCAAACTTGTTTTTTCTCGTCGGCTATTTGCAGATCTTTTCACTAGATGGCGCTTTAGTTTCGATCTTCAGAGAGCCGTATATATTGAAAGAGTTGAGCGGATGGGTGGAGCCTGTGACCCGCTATATCTAGCTACCGTAAAATACCGAGCAAGCGCCCCCTCCCCACTTAAAGATTATCCAATCAAAATAGGGAGGAGCCCTCACTCGGTTTAGGAATAACGTGCAAGATGGCGGCCACGAATATATTAAATTTTCACAAAATGGGAAGGGTCACTTACACGAGGGGGACGCATGCTCGGCATTTTATGCTAGAATAAGCGGTCCTCGCGATAGCCCAATACGAATATTCATTTTCGTTTCGCCACTCCACTCTGAGGGAGCCCCCTTAGATTTGCGATTTCAACTATCATTATGAAAGCATTTCTTGTTCATCGGAATTCCTCTATTACGCCTGTAATTGGTCCCTGCATTCAAGAACCACCCACTTTTTATGAATCACCAATAGCAAAACTTACAAGTAGCTTTTTACTTTTTTTTCATACCAAAACATGGCTTTTCACTTGAAAAAGTTCAGGCCATTGAGAGCATGCGTTCGCAGTCTCTGCGTAGCAGACGCTTTCCACGGCGTTGAATTGTGGCGGTGGTGGGAATGTAGAGAGGTAACGGACCTTTTTCGTGTAACGTGCGCCGTTGGGCAGTCTGTCTGTAAACTACAAATCAAGGGCAGCCCAACGGGACTCCGCTTGTCAAAACACATTGACATTGTGCCATTGTATCGGCTCTCGTTGCTTTTTAATCCCCCCCTGCTACCAATGCCCAGAAAAAGAATTAAAAAAAAAAAAAAAATAGGCGCTGACAATGTCGGTTTTGCGGGATGGCACCCTGCAAAAATGGAGACAGCGGGAAGAGGCCAGGGGGGTTTGCACGTGCACAGAAGCTTGCTGGAAAAAGGTCTATTGTTTTTTTATAAAAAAAGGGAATGAAAGACGGTAATATATTTGGAGATCGTTGCAGTTAAGTGTGAGCAGTTGATTGCGTGGAAAGATACAACAGCGCTTGCGTGAACGAGAGACCCTTTCGGTGAAATGACATGTCACTGCAGACGTGGGGTGGGTAATCCAGACTGGGTCATGAATTAGTAACACAATATGGCAGGGGAAGTATCTGGTCGCCAGGTCTCTGGTCGTGATTGCTAGACTGTAGGCATCTTCAAAAAAAAATGCCAAACTCTCCCAGTGTAGATGGCTCTGGATTTTGGGAACTGTTGCCAGACTACTAGATTAAAAAAAAAAACGTGATAATACCGAAACTATTCTAGAAAAAAAAAAATTGTAGGGTTTTTTGCCTGGAGGCAACACTCGCCAACAAAGGGTTAAGTATTTTAAAGCGATAGCTTTACGAGGGAACCTTCCACAGCCGTTCCTTGGTCGCCATTGGCCGTGTCCCAGCAAGCAAGCTAGGACTGACGTTTTGAGGTCTTGTCCTTGCCGTCTTCGTCACCTTTGTTTCTGAGTCTTCGGCGTGGAGTGTTGGCGCAGCGTTAACCCGGGAGCGTGCTTCCTCCCGCACGTGCAGGAACAACGTTCCCGTGTCGGGGGGCATCTCCAGCTTCGGAATGTCTCACAACTCCCGAAACTTCCCGTCGTCGCAGTCACTCATGGGCAACAGCCTCCAGAATCAGCTGTTCAACTCCAATCCAGGTGAGGCCAGGTCCCTAGCGAGACTCCTTGGACGCCTGCGTAAAAGGCGGGCCTTGTTGTACGATCATTTGCATTGCAGAGATTCGGTCCTAGCTTCGTGCCTTCATTGCCGAGGGAGAAATTTGGACGTACCAGAAATTCGGACGCTGTGTCGTGCAGTAGCGGTCGTGAAAACGCACGCCGCCGTGATGTTTTTTTTTTTTTTTTTTTCTCCACGAGAAAGTCTGGATACCGGTTTTGTACTAGCAAGCCCACCGATTCACTTGTGTTCTTGCAGAAGGTTTTGTTGTGTAAGAACTTGCATATTGGCATAGCTGTTGGGTACTTGTTACAGCAATAGCTCTTTGCAGGCTCTCACCCCCCACCCGAAACGAAGTAGTTGTAAGGCGTCTGTCATCGACGTTGCCGAATACTTGGGAAAACAGGAAATTCCGTAAGACCCGTCGCGATGCTCTGGGGATCCGATCCCAGGTTCGCCGACCGTGAAGCGAGTGCGCTACCGCAGAGCCACCCCAACTGCTTCGAGGCGCAGGTTGAGGACAGCTGCGGAAACGGGTCTTGCATAGCACCCGCTGGCGAGTCTCGCTCCGCATCGGCTAGAGGGCTTCTGCATGCATAAAAAAAAAACGAGTTTGTTGCTCTCCGCGAAGAGATTGGCGACAATTCCTCCATGATGTAGGGTGCAAGATACATTGTGATACATCTCTGTTATCGCTGTAACTGTACTGTAAAGTCACACAAAACTGCTGGGCATTTTTTTTTTCCGTATTTGGTTAAGTCACTATACTAGGACAGTGAGCTCATTGCTTCAATTATTACGGGTAAACGAAGGAGGTGCGCAACTGTTTTTTTTATTGTCCCTTGTGTATCTCTTTCATTCATCTCTAATTGCTGTACAGCACCTGGTGTACGCTGTTATGGAATTTTTCGTATGGGCGAGTCGTATAGTCAAGTTTTATACTGGTTGAATATGGGCAGGGGCAGCTTGCTAACATGTGGTCTTGCAGAACGTTTTGTATAGGCGAGTCGTTACTTATGCGTATTGTTTTGACAATGGTTTCACGGGGGTGAAGGCAGCATACTAGCAATAGGGTTTAATTAAACATTTCCTGTTGGTGAATGATTATGCGAGTGTCTAGGTTTGATAGTATTGGTATTTATGTAAGCAAGTTATAAGCACATGGACTTGTACTGGTTTCGTATGGGCAATAGCACCCTACTAGAAAGTATTAAGGAATGTTTTATATAGGCAAATCATTATACAAGAATGAGCTTGATACGGAATTTCTATGGGCAAAGGCACCATCTGGCCCGCAATTCTAGAGAAAGTTTTATATAGACAAGTTACATAATACTTCAGGATTGATGTCACCTTCATTGAGGGGAAAATACTATTCTAGCATAAAATTCTGTGGAACTTTTTTTGTAGGCGAGTGATAAGAATAGGACTTGGTGCTGACCTCATATGGACTTCATCTTTTCGTATGTACTAGAATATATTATTATGGAATGTTTAGGTTGATTCATTATACAAGAGGGCTTGATGTTGCTTTCATACGAGCAAAGGCACCATTTAATTTCAGCCAATACTTTTATGGAACATTTTATATCTGCGAGTCATATAATGCTGCAAGTTCGGTGTTTTATACTAACGAAGGCATCATGTTAGCATGTGGTATTATGAACCGTATAGTTAAGCTAGCCATTGTTTGAGTGTAGGGGTTTGACACCAGTTCCACACTGCTCGTGCACCCGACAATCAATGGGCACTGTAACGGTCCTTTAGGGCCAGTTGTCCGACCTTGTTTGTAAAGAACACGTGTTTCGTCTCGCTTGACGAACCATTGTGCGCAGCCCTGGACCTGTCCGAGTTCCCGTCGTTGACGAACCGGGGATCGCAAGAGGGCTCCAACCAGGGGCTGAGCAGCAATCCCATGGCGGGGAGGGCGGCCTACGGCAAGCTCTGTGAGTCGCACTGCCCCTCCCTTCCTCGTCCACGGTTGGCCCTAGAAACACAGGCCCCATCGTGCCGACGAGGACCAGAGAGCTCCGCACAAACTGCGCTCTGGGTGTCATTTGTGCTAGATTTTTAATTATTTTTACGACCTACTTCTAATATGTACCGTATTTTTATTTTTAATTATTTATTTCATTATTGTTTATTTTTATTTACAACCTGCCCCCCTCGCCGGCATGTTTGCATTCGTATAAAATAATTTACCCTTCTAGATCAGCTCTGCTAGTGGCTCGGTGGCTATAGTATCGACCACCTCCGCACCGACCCAGCTTCGACCCTGCCGGGGCTCGAACTTTATACGTAAACTTTATATTCAACCTTAATGTCTGTGCCACTTGTTCACGACGCTTGCCATGACGATCGTTCGCGAAGCTCGTTACGGTGCTCGTTCGTGACGCTTTTTTCTTAAGAAATGACTCGCTTCCGTGTTAAGGAACTGCTCGTCTCTTTGGTGAATTCCAAAGGCGTCACGTGACGTAACGGCGCCCACAGAGTCACGCAATGTCACGGCGTCACGTGGCAGCATGACGCCGATTCTGCGCCCGAGGCGCAGGCACGAGAGCGCCGAGAGCTGGCCTGCAAGGGCCATGCATTTAATGTGGCCACTCCAGGGAGTGTAGTGAACTGACCGACGTTGTCCTCTCCGCAGTTGGGATGGTGAAGCAACCCAACAACGACTCCAACGAGTTCCACATTCACAACGAGGACTTCCCCGCGTTGCCCGGATCACAAGGTCGGCTCTCTTTCTGTCTTGTCGTGCCAGTCTTTGTTCCCGGCTTTGGCTTCGTGTTGTCGCGTTGGGTTGCGTGCTAGCTGTTGGCAGTTGTTGAGAGGCTCATTGTACGAGTCGTACTGCGCCGATTTTCTGATCGCCAAGAAGTCCGATCGTAACCTTTCTTTGATTCTCGTTTTTTTTTAAAGGCCCTCATCGAGGCTGTTATTGAAGGGAAGGGGCCGGGACCATGCTTGGGTAGTAATTTGATAACTTTTCTTGGTAATTTGTAATTGTAATGAATTACTTTTTGCTAAAAGGAATTGTAATTGTAATTTAATTACTTTCTAGAATCAGTAGTTGCAAAACTTCAGACACAATTAGAATTACTTTTGCAAAATCTTGCGGCGCCGACGGAACCTCTCTGAAAGCCGTGGCGCTCGCACAAGCGGCCTGGCTCCGGTGAAACACACACACACGCACTCACACACACGCACAACAGAAATAGCGTCGCATCGCTGGTTGTTTTGTAGCTCACACTGCGGGCTGAGAGACAATCCTTTTTGGAGCCTTCCTCAACAGCGCCGTGTAGCGCCGTCTGCGGTGCGAAAACAAAACGAAAGCGTAAGCATGCCAAAGTATTGAGAACGAAAAATCGAGCTTCAGCTCTCAGCCGAGATTGGGAATTTTAACTGTCTATAAAGTTATTTTTCTTTCTTTTTACCCAGTTCTTTTTTCATCCCTCTTCCAGCACTGTCGCATATGTGTATCTTTGTACTATTTTCAAGTTAATTTCATGTTTTTTGTTACTTCGGATATTATTTGCATAAGCACTTCAGAGGCTGACCTCGCACCTGTTAATGTTGTCACCAATGATTCGGAAGCACCGATACGGTACTTATATATGTCTGAGCCATTATAATTTACAATAATAAAAATTCTCACATTTTATTTGCTGACTAACTAAAGTCTGTCAACACAATTTTTTCTTTAGCGATCTGGCGTTTTGCAGCATATCGACTAATTTATTATTATTAATTAAAAATATAAGAACGTAGTACTTCATTTCCCCATAGTACTGTCAAGTTCTATCGTGAATTCGACAAAATTCACAAAAAGAAAGTGCAGTACGCAAACATTGGAGTAAAAAATGAACAAATATGTTGGATTCTATACAACTCGTTGAAAGTCATATGGTCCAAGTCGGGTCGCTATCAGAAATAAGTAATTGTAAAGTAATTTCGTTACTTTTTAAAAGTAATTTGTAATTATTAATTAATTACTTTTCACGTACTAGTAATTGTTGTTGTAGTTAAACTCCTTTTGAAGCAAAGTAATTGTAATGGGAATTAAATTACATTTTGGAAGTAATTTATCCATGTATGGCCGGGATGAACGCCTGTTCTTGAGAAGGGTGCACGTCACAGGTGAACCTTGGTGCAGGCATTCTGGATGTTCATTCAATAACGATATTGACATCCCACAAACGTCTATTAAAGGAACTGGCTTAAATGTGTTAATACTTAACTCTGTAAAAAAAAAAAAAAATTAATCGAGGAAAGGGCTCATTATATGTTGCCGAAAGAACGAACACAGGAACGGACGGGACGACCCACCTTTTTTGATGCGTTTATTCTTTTAGCAACGTACAATTTCACCAACATACTCACTTTCTAAACTTGAAAGTGTTCAGCGTGGGATTCTAGTATACTGCAAGCATTTTGAAATTCTGTATGATCTAAGCGTCAAACTGGTAAAAATTTGTTACGTTTAAAATCTGACTTCTACCGTAATTAGCGTACCTCCTCAGTAGCAGTCCTTATGCTAAAACAAAAAGAATTATTGGGAAGGATGTTTCTTTTGGACAGTTGCAACTGAATTTATGTCTGAATTCTCATTTAGTTTACGAACCCAATGTTAAAAATTTTTAGCGTTTACCCTTTAGCCATCAAACTCATTTGTAGTCAATTATGCGGCTCTAATGGAAGCTTAAAATTTGTCCTTTTCTTCTTGTTGATGTTTCAATTTTAGGTCAGGAAAATAACCAGGACTGCATGAACAAGCAGGTGAGCGCACAAACAGACTTTTTTGTGATTGCAGAGGCAGTTTATGGTGATTGGTTTCTTTGGTTTATGGCTTCCACTACGGAGATTGCCAGAGTTGGGGTTTGAACCGCCTGGAATGGCATTTGTCTGACCAAGTATAAAACATTTACAACGTTTCCCTGGTTCAGTTGCTTTCTTTATGCAGTGTTTTGTAATTTGCCACACTTGTGTGGCACACATATGTGACAACATTTATTGCATTTGTTTGTTTGTACTCGCGTCTTTTTTTCTTCCTTTCTTATTTCGGGAGTAGACAAATTTATTGAGGATCTTTGCTGCTGGTTTTGTACAGTGGAACATTTAGATGTCTACTGTTTTTTTCGAGGAGTGTGGAGGCTCGTTAATTTATGTTGAAATACAGTTGCATTCCATTCAAAACTTTAGTAAGGTCGTCGCGGGTTTTTTGTTTTTTTGTAATGAAGCATACATTCAGTTGATGACTCTGGCCGAAAGCATTCAGGGGGGAACGTTTGTCGAAATCCTAGAAAGTGTCTCTAACGTAACGGGACAGTTTCTCTCGACTCTCGTGAATTCTGCATTTTTCCCCCCACGATCGTTGTTCTTTGCAACGACGTTCTAGCGCCACTTTTCTCGCGAGGAGCGTATTGTCAAATGTTCGGCGACTTTAACGTCAAGCCTACAATTCCGTTCTGAGCGTCGTTGCCTTTCCGCAGTCCAGCAACTCTGGGAGCGAGTCATCCAAAGACGGCAGCGGTTTCTCGGGGGACAAGCTGACGCCGCAGACGCTGAAACGAGGCATTCAAACGTCCAAAGACGGTGAGTGTTGCTTGGATGGGAAGCGTCGAGGGGTCGTCACAATGTGGGGAAATTTTGAAGGGACGTTGTGGCATGGAGAAATGTTGGAACGACTTTGCGGCGTGTCGAGATGTTAAAAGGCCATTGGAATGCGTATTTCCCACGCTGTTTTGGTTCTGAAGGAACTCGTGATGCCGTTTGATTTTTTTTTGATCGGTTTGCATTCAGGGTGATCGCAATAAACTGCAAGTTCATTGCGACTAGGAATGTTGCGAACCGGCTATGGTTCGAGTTCAATTGTCTCAAACCTCTACTGCAGCTCGACCATCGTTTGACCGAAGTTCGACTATTATGTGTATCTGCGAAGATCGAAAACAACCTCAGGCGAGCTTGCACTGGAGGGGTGAAGCATTGGTTGGGTATCTTGTTTTACTATCTCGTATTAATAAACTGCCATATTTTCCGGACTTTAAAAATTAAAAATTTACCCGACGCGGTACAGGTGTGGGCTGTACGAGGATTCGTTTTTTCTAGAGAGTTCACTCTGACAAGACGTGAAGGATTTTGTGAGTGACCGAGTATATTAATGTTTATTTACGTACGGTGCAAGCTTCCTTCTGTGCTAATACAGCAGGCATATGTCAAAGTGTGCCGTGTATGATAATTTTTACGTTCGGACCAAGCGCTCACTGATTGTGGACTGTGCACTGCGTGCAAACTAGTCCAGAAAATACGGTTACTAAAGTATTAAAACTACAAATGGAACATTTTTGTTTGTGTTCGCGTTGGTAGTCATTTATAACATATTAAGTACCTAAATGATTTTATAAATTATTTTTCCTCCAAAATTGAAATTTCTTTTGTTTTTTTTGGGCAACACTGTTCATATATCAAACTTTGGCAAAGTTTACCAAATGTTTGAAGGGCCGCCAAAGTCTAACCTCAAGGTTTGACGTCGAACCGTGGGTTTAACAAAAGTCGGCGACATCCCGTCATTGTTATTATTATTATTATTAGGGGTTTGCGAATATCAAAATCTTTCGAAGCGAATCGAATCGAATAATAAAGGTTACGAATCGAATCGAATCGAATATTTTCGAATACGAATAGTAGTTTCAAATAAGGAGATATTTGAAAACAAATATTTTCTATTTGATGTGAATTAAACTAGAATGCTTAATAAAGAACACAACTGGAATTTTTTTTCAACAAACGTTTATGAAAAGGTTACTTCTATTGCAATAAAAAAAATGTCACACATGTGACTGTTAAAACAAACAGATGAAAAAAGATCAGTCAGTAAAACACCATTCCTTGAGTGAGGTTAGAGAATGTAAATGAAAGTGCAAAAGTGAAGGCGGGTCGGCAAGCCACAACGCAGTCGGAGATCGCATCGCGGACGAAAGGAGGCACTTGAGCGTAAACGCAAGTACACAAGCGGTGGCGGGTCCGCAAGCCGCAATACAAAGTCGATGATTGCGTTTCTACTTTGTGCGATCTCTTTTTACGCTCGTGGACGCAACCACGTGAACGTAAACGGAAGTACACAAGCGGAGGCAAGTCGACAGGCCACAGCAGAGTTTCAGATTGCACGATCGCGCTGCGCAACCGCACTGACTATGCAGCATCTCTTTCCGTGTGCAATAGCTCTGTCCATAGAGGGCGCTACAAAGATGCAATAAATTAAGAATATGTTTTTTTGTTTTTTTTGGCGGGGGGAGGAAGTCTCACTTTTACCATTAAAAACGGGTAGAAATAAATAACAAAAGGAATACTGGCAAACTGATGAACCGGAAAATCAAGCGGAAAATAACACAAGCCAGATATCACCGATAGCCGAGGTGAGCCATAAATCCATATCCGAATCCATAGCACCTTTGCTACTGTAGTCACTGTAGGTACGAAATCACGAATATATGGTTGTGCTTCATTAAAAATGAATGTGGACAGGAACGTATACAAGACGTCTCGGGCGGATGCCCGAAACGTCGTGCGGTCCGTCTCGACGATGCATGTGCCGTTGCAAATCGTAGTCCTTCATCCTATTTATCGCAGCGTTTGCGCCACGACCACTTAGCCAACTCTGCAATCCGGACATCACGGCAAGCAGAGGACAGATCGCGCTACCGCGTGCAAATAACTTTCCAACCCTTCCTACAAAAAGAAAAAGACACTTAGGTTGGTTGTGTAGGTTTGCCAAGCTCGAAACCATACTGCACACTCCAAAAACAGAACAGAGAACTTGACCGCAAGTTGACACTAATCAATGAGTTCCGCGTTATTCGTGGTTTTCGAAGTATTCGAAGAACTCGAATAGTTCTAACAGCGAAAGGGCGAAGCGAATCAAATCGAATAGCAAGTATTATTCGCGAAGTATTCAAAGTTTTGAATATTCGCACACCCCTAATTATTATGTTGTGGACTGTTCCAAAACCAAAACAGTGGAAGAAATGCACAAAGCCGCCTTTATAATCAAATCTCATGGCAATGATCCCCGCATCGGTGCCCCTTCACTGACATTGTCTGTAAAAGAATACTCCTATCTGTAGAATGTGCGAGTTATTTCAGTTATGTGGTTTGTCTGTTATAAATTCGTTGTTTTCAGTGTGTATGCGTGTTTCTCGTGTATGTTTTTTTTATGAGTAGTAGGTATTCAGTTGAAAGTTAGGCCGTATCCGTTTCACTTCCGCCTTACCCTCGTTCTTGTTTTTTAGTGTAGAGCTAAAGCGACGAATAGCCAAGCAGCCTCCCTGAAGCAGCTTTATTCGAGGACGTTTGACCCCTTTCACGTCATATGCATTAGAATTTTGTTAATCAATAGGACTGACCGTTCGGACGCATTGGCGGAAGTAGGCACGCAGACGTCGCTCACAAACAGTGTGGCTGTCACTCGAGTAGGTGCGCTCAACGCGGAATGTGCAAAAGCACATTTATCGAGTGCTAGGGTTTCATTCGAAAAATCTCCCAAAGTGTAACACAAAAAGCGTAACACGGTAAATTAAGCAGGAAGCCTTTCCTAGCTATATTCAGGAGGAAAACCCAAGGGGGTGAAGAAATCAGGCTCTTGGCTAAATGTCGCGGGGAGACGCTTGCAGCTAAATCTAGTGAGGTGCAATTCGGCTAAATCACAATGGAGCGCGAGTACCGAGCTCTCGAAACTCGGGTAAGTAAACACTCTAGGCAGCTCCAAACAGTGCGTGACGTCTCGGGGCTTCATCCGTAGGATACACTTACCGTTAAGTCCCGAGAGATGCCCCAGCCACCTTAGTAGTGTTGGGATCAGCGATGGCCTCGGCGTAAATGTGGCTAGTTAGCTGTTGCGGTATAAAAGCGAACGTTGCTGACTGGGGGTACAGTATCTTGGCTTAGTTGCCCCTCGCCACGATAACAAAATCCTCCTATGAGGATTAGTAGTATTCATAATTAAATCAATAAATAGATAGCCCACCCCTACTTTTGACTCGATTGGCTATACTTTTTTAAACACCGGTAGCCCACTCTTAGTAATAGCAGTGTTGGGATCAAGGATGGCTGCGGCGTAAATGCGGCTAGTTAACTATGGCGGGATCAAAGCGAATGTCGCTGACTGGGAGGTGTCATATCATTGCTTAGTTGTCCCTCGCCACGATAACAAGCTTGGAAGGGCCACGTAACCTAAAAATAGCATTTTTTCAACTTTTCTTCGTTGTACACCGAAAGTTGACCCACTCCATATTTTCACCCGATTTGCTTTTGATTTTAGGTAGGCTATCTCGGGGTATTACGGCAGTTGCTTTGCTACCATTTCCGGGACACCCCGACGCATGGTCGGTACGGGACACGAAATGCATTGGTTCGAGACGCTTCCCAGACGGCAGGTGCCGCGGGTGTTTATGCGTCCGGGTCGGTGGGGGCCGCGTTGCAGGCACGGTGACCAACATCCCCGCGGGCATGGTGACGGACCAGTACGGCATGGTGGGGCTGCTGACGTTCATCCGGGCGGCCGAGACGGACCCCAACCTGGTCTCCCTGGCCTTGGGCAGCGACCTCACCACCCTCGGGCTCAACCTCAACTCCCCCGAGTGAGTGCAGACCCGCCGCGGTTCCGCGTCGCCTCTCGACCGCCTCCGCGGCGTCGGGGTTCCGTCTCTCGTATCGTGTGGCGCAGTCTGTATGCGGCACTTTTTGCTCCAGAGCTCTCGTTCCATCGACCCCTCGTCTCTGGGGTTAAAGAGCGTCTGTGGCGGATTTTCTTCCGGTAGAGGCCAATTCACACACTCCCGACTGCTTACATGACCGTGCACCTTGAAACCTCTTAAAATTTCTTAAAATCTCTTTCGGTGGGAGAACACTCGGGTGACGTCTTTCGGTTAGCTGTGAAACGCCTTGCAGTTTCCGTAAATCTTCAATTTTCTTTTTGCGCGTCTTTGATCTTTTACAGCGAAGCTGTTATGTCCTAGGATCTGGGTAAAAATGCGTCCCGGAATGTTCACAGAAAACTCCCCATTGTTCGTGGCAAAAAGAATTACTTAGTGAGGTCCTGATCCCTTGTTATCATCTCTAGGCATCGTTCTTGAGGCCGTCCTAGAAGTCGTCTTTGAGGTCGCTCGAGAGATCGTCCTAGGCGTCGGCCTCTAGATGTCGTCCTAGAAGTTATCTTTGAGGATCTCCAAGTGGTCGTCTTAGGTGTCGTCCTAGAAGTTGTCCTTGAGGTCGTCCAAGAGGTCGTCGTCTAGGCGTCATCCTCGAGGTCATCCCCAAGGTCGTCCTAGATGTCCTTGAGGTCATCCTAGGCGTCGTCCTAGAAATCGTCCTTGAGGTGGTCCTGGACGTCGTCCTCTAGGCATCATCCTCGAGGTCATCCTAGAAGTCGTCCTTGAGGTCGTCCTCTGGGCGTCGTCCTCTAGGCGTCGTCCTCAAGGTCGTCCTAGAGGTCATCCTAGAGGTTGTCCTCTAGGCATCGTCTTTGACGTAAAAATAACTGCTCCGCTGGTCCTCCATCTTTACGTGAGGTGGAAGGGCTCTACAATTTTTTTTTGGCTCGGAAAACTTTTGACAATGTTATGGACGAGTGGTTCTCACCCATGGATGTTTCGCGGACCCCTTGTGGATCGGCGGAGATGACGGAGGATCCCGTTCGTGGTGAGAGGAGAGGAAAGATATTAATAATGATTTAATTAATGGATATAACTAAGCGGCAGTGTGAATTTGACCTCACTTATTCACATACACACGAAAAAACTCGCCTGAAAACTGAAACATTTCGTCTTAACCTGAAAAAAGACAACTTTTATTGCCGGGCTTGACTGATCAGGCGGGGCTTCGCGGACCCCCAGATTGCCTTCGCGGACCCCAAAAGGTCCGCGGACCCCCGTTTGAGAACCACTTTTATAGACAACCGTTTCTTCTAGACAGTACACACGTTCTGTCTCGGAAATACCGCGCAACTTTCGCTTTAGCGAAACGCATTTCCGTGGTCAGCTCATAGATGGCGCCACCATGCCGGCACCCTCTCTCGTCGTAAGAGATTGCAAGAACTCGGTCCTAGGTGAACGGAGGCATGTCAAAGGGACTCTGCTCCTAAAAGATAACAAAGCTACAGTTGCTTGAGCCGGAATACGGCTAAGCTACAGGTACCTCGCATTGCTAGGTGTGTATCTGGTTTGCGGCTACGGCTCGGCCGCTTACGAAAAATAACGAGACTTCATTTCACCTCAGAAGCTACCAGAGCGAGCTCTGTGTGTCTGACGTCCCTGCCAAAAGCGTGCACTTGTGCAGCGCAGGCATCACTCGGGGCGACCTGCTCGTTGTAGCTTCCGCTTTGCTCGCGCATAAAGTGAGACGGTGCATGGTCTCTGGTTACTTTGGAGATAAAACTCGGGGTGTCAAGGTGGGCTGCGATTACTGGCAGGCTCTTCATTTTGAGGCGTGGAAAAGGGGATTAGTTTTGTCTCGATTCGGAATTGTTCTCGTGGTAGAGTTTGTGGCGGCAACAACATGTAGCACTCGGTCTCGAGGCTACACGGAGTGCGAGTTTGTCTGCTTCTTGCGCGGGGGTTGCGACAATGTCGGAACGCCGAGCTCTTATTGGCTAATCGAAAAAAATAGTGGGTAGACCTCACGGCATCTAGCATTGAGGTCTACCTCACTAACCTTTCAGTCAAAGCCAGTCGGAGCTGAGCATCGTTCCGTTGTTGCCGCAATTCCTGCGCAAGAAGCAGGCGACTTAATCTCCGCATTGAATGGAATTTAACTCCGGTTTTTGTGAACTTTGAGAGGTAACTGTAACTGCACTGGTTTACAAGTTGCTCCAAGGACGTTGCTATGTGACACTTACAGTTACTAGAAATTGATTGTACTAGGGAAGTATTTAGGTAATGCAATTAATGACAGTAACTTAAGGACTTGTTTGTTACTTCAGGGCTTTGGTTAGGAGGCAACTGCCTTCATTGGCTCTGACTGATCACTTGTGTGGATTGTTCCGCTAGTCTGACCGTTAACTGGGTGACCCCTTCTCGCTCCGTCCAGGAACCTGTATCCCGTGTTTGGTGGTCCCTGGGCGGAGCAGCCGTGCAGGCCTCAAGACATCGGTGAGCATCTTCAGCATTCTCAACCTGCCTCCATTTTATTTTTAGTTTAAGAATGTTTCTAGTAACTGTGTATGAGCTTGAATAAACATACAGAGCACCAGTTAACACAAAGAAAAGTTTGGGAGAAAATAGTGACTGGCTGGGGAGTTTTGGCAACTCAGTCGAAGAAAACTGGGGTTCTTGGGGATTTTCGGTGATTCCCCCCCAGTGGGGAAAAAAAATTTGGGGGAATCGGAGGAATTTGGTGAGTTAAATCCATAGCTACCCGAGATGAAAAAAAAAAAGAAAACAATATAAAAGCAGACCAAACAAAATGCGAAGTGAGACAATGTTGTGTGATATTGGCTCTTTTTTATTTTGCCTTTCTGGGATTAAGAAGATAAAAAGAATAGGAAAAAGGTCCTACTGTCTGGGCAATTTTTGTTTTACAATAGTCCACTCCTACCCACAGGGTGAACTAATATTGTGCAGTGATCTTGTCAACGAAGTTGAGATGGATAGAAATGAAGAGAGTGGGAAAGATCCAATTGTAAAAGGTAACCGATGATCTCTTGTTCTCCGCAGACTATCACGTGCCGTCTGAGTACATCATCAATCAGAGCATCCGCGACAAGCTGGCGGGCATCAAGCTGAACCGCTACGGGGATGACCTACTCTTCTTCATCTTCTACATGTTTGGCGGAGACATGCTCCAGCTACTCGCTGCCTGCGAATTGTGAGCAGAATTGTCGGTTGTCGCTCGTAGCAAAGGGCCCCCCTTTTTGTCCCCCTTTTTGCTTTCGTTTTTTCTCTTGAAGAATGAAAAGGATGCAAATGCAGGGAAGCTTAGGATTAATTCTTGCTAGCGAGCTGAGGACATTGAAGAAAATGAGTTGAAAGGGTCAGGGTTATGCTTTTCAGAGCTATGCCACTTGGAGATGGTGCAGACATGGATGTGGGGAAGCGGGGCTGAGGTACGCCCTCGTAATACTTGTGAACAGTCGGGGTGACGATGGTGTAACGACACAAATTGAAGAGAACAGCCGCGTAGTTTCAAGTCCCAGTGGTGCTTTCAGCTCGGGACAAACTAAAAAGACTCTGACCTAAGATCACTTGCCAACAGCATCAACAGGCAGAGTGCAGTGTCAAACATAGACTCAGATACAGTGTAGACCGCATATAACGTATGTCGCGGGAGTCGCAAAAATCAGCACTACAAGCGATACCGCGCTATAACCAAAACATCAATTTTTCAGGCCAAAATACCTTACCTTTGTAAAACAATTTATTTTATGTTAGATGAAAAATAAAGCTTAGTCTGAGGAAAGTCCTTATTTCACCAGACTAGTACACTTCTCTCTCAAGTTTGTCACACATTTTGAAAGAAACGAGTGACTTTTGCCTGGCACAGCCTTTTAACGGCGTTGCGGACGGACGTTGAGAGCGTTCAGGATTGCTAACCCTAATCACTTTTCTCCGGTGATGAAAACACGTGAAAATTCGCATCCTTTATACGGTATGCACCGGTAATACCTTGAACTTGAGCACACGCATGAAATGCTCCAAATAAGAAATCCGGGTGATGTTCGAAAACACAAATGCTTAGAAAGCACCACTGTAGTCGGAAGTAAACAAACGCAACGACACGGGCGTTTCTGCCGTCTTGAGAGTGCCGCCACAAGATTGCCGCACGAGTAGGTGGATCTTCCCTTCTGGTACGGGCTGGGTTATCGTAGCGACACGCGACGAAAATTCACAGTCAAGGATAGCGCTTTTACGCGGAATGATGAGCTCCACCACGCCGTCTACGTCGACGATCACCACTGACGCCATGTTTGCAGATAGAAGAAACCGGCCTGCGACCGGCATGCAACGCGCGCGACCAGTTCTCCTCAACCTGTGATTGGTCTGTCGTTGCGGTTGTTTCCAATGCAGCGGGGGAAAGTTGGGCTCGCTCCAACTCCCTGCGTCGTGAGCGACACGTGCGTGCGTCCCTCCGTCGCTATGGCAACTGAAGCCTCCCTCTTCGCTTCTCCCCGCTTCTTCAAGCAACCTCCTTGCCCCGCGAGTGCCGCTCGCGGCTAGCGCCGTTATCTAGTGTCGCACAGGGAAGCGTGCTCACTGCGCCGGTCGGCCAGCAGGCTGTTCCAGAAACCGCACTATAACCGGTATTTCCCTTTGCACGCCTGCATTTTAAGCGGTATGTAATTACATGGAGTTCTATGGGAGGCGAACCGGTGGTTGAAAAAAGCCGCGTTATACCCGGTCCTGCACTATAAGCGGTTTGTCGTAAGTGGTCTATACTGTATCTAGAGTGGAGCGGTATACCAAATACCACTTACTTGCGGAAAAGCACATGTAGGTCAGTTGGGGCGATGTATTAATATGAGATTAAGGGGGGACATAGGCCTCAATTTCAAAATTGTTTTGAAAAAAATAATTTTTCAATTTTGAGGTTTTTGGTTTTAGAAACTAATTATTTATTTATTTGAGAATACTGCCGGCCAACTTTTGAGGGCCAACCTTACACTAAATTTCATAACCATGAGCCAAATAGTTACGTTGATGTAAAATATTTTCAACACATTGTGAGGCAGTAAACAAAGTAAAGAAGTTCAATGTTTGAATGCATTTTTCTCAGTTCCGCTTTTTGCTGCAAATTTCATGCGAAGGAATCTTTTGTTCTAAGGTAAAATTATTCTGATACCACAATTAAGATGTTTCTGAACTGAAATTTACTGGGAAATCGGGCTATCTACTTTATTTTGTTTTACGTTAAAGTCCTTATTGAGAAAAAGCTATGTTTTCAAAAATTGACATAGGACAGATATGCATCTCATATCTTGAGGTAATCACTCTTCCTGAAATATTTACATTTAAGTTATAAAAACTAGATAGCCCGAAGTCCCACATCCCCCACTTTATACCCAAAGCACTTAAAATGGTGCCTAATAGCTTCCTTTGCACATCATAGATTTCTTAACGAAGAGTGACACATCTTCTTATGCAGGTATGTAAAGTTGCCCTAGAGAGCTGAAAGTTTGCACAGTACACCTAGTACATCTGAAGTTGAATCTCCCCTGCAAATTTCGTTCCGATCACATGTGTAATTCAGAAATTCGACCTCTGGTCCCCCCTTAAGGGGGCCCTGCAATCATGTTTAAGCGCCTACCTTCTTTGCGGTTTCCACGTCTCTTGGGGTTCGGGCAAGCCAGCGGGCACGGAGAGAGTCACTAAATATCAGTGCGTCATATTTTAACCGGACGACGCTTAAAACTCCTCCACCGACGAGGGCGACCCGCGGTACCAAAAGCGCGCAAAATGTGACGTCTTTGGCCCTGGGCTTACTACTGCTCAGAGCCGCTAAAAGATTTTTTTTAGTCGAAATACAAAATATAAGTGGCGCGAACCGTTTCAATTATTTATAAAAGTAGTTTTTGTTCAGTATTTTAGATCAGAAAAGAAACAAATGCAGTTTATAAAGTACGGAAACCAGAAATGATCCGTCGACATACCCGCCACCAAGCGGGGGAAAAGGTGGCGCATACAAGAAAGGAGTAGTGGGATCAGGCGCCGACATGGAAAGGTCCCGGATGTATGCGACGGCGCTGCGGTCGTTTACGGACTGGAGGATCCGACCGGCTCCGAGCGTTCCGTGGGCTTTCAGCGAGTAGCTTTGTATTGCGTTTTGGCTATTTCACGGTACAGCAGCCCGAACGGACTCATATTCTGAACTAATCTTTACCCCGTGTTTGCTGTCGTTTGTGGCCAAGAAGTGTCATGCCGAGTTAGTGTTTAACCGCGCAGCAAATGCAATGAGAGCCGCTCTGGCTGCCCGCTGTATGCAGCCTATCGAACACGTGCTTTAGTGGCGCCCTCTCGAGCCGTCGACAGGGAGTGCGGCAGCCGTGCGCGGTCGCTGAGCTCACAATCTGTCCTCTAGTTCACGGCCACTCAAGCAACCAAGGACGTCATGACGGAGGTTATTTTTTGCTTGTTTTTGTAATTTTAATTTGGCCATAACTTTTAAAATAAAGCGAAATTCGAGAAAAGAAAAGTTACATTAAGTTACTACGATCAGTGCGCTCAGGTTTGGTGCAAATTAAAAACCAGTAAAAAAGTGCTTGCAGGGCCCGTTTAAGAGAAAATGCCAAAATACTGAAATTAACACTAGCGGGACATCTTGTGGTGCATGTCAGGGACTGCAAATGCTCACCATCATTCCACCACACCAAAGTTCTGAAGCGGTTCCGAGACAAAAACACTAGAGAGAACTGGTTAGAAGATTTTATTTACAACAGTGGTGTCATGCCTAGAACAAAACCGAAAACGTACAAGGCTCAAGTCATCCTCACCAGTGGTGAACAATGCGTAAGCGCCCCCCGTCAGTGACCCTAACACAAAAAGAACTTGAGTTCCTTCGGTGTTTTCCTTGAAGACTTGAAACACAAAAAGAACTTCAGTTCCAGCGGTGTTTTCCTTGAAGACTGTTTAGTCAGTTGCTCTGTGTCCTTTTTTTCTTTTTATTTTTCTTTTTGTTTTGTAGACAATTTTTACGTGACAAGTACTCTGTCTTTAGGTGTAGTTAAAATAATTTTATCTTTCTTTTCTCCTTTTTCACTTCCACCTTGTCTTTCTCTACATGCTCTATTAAATTGACAGTTGTAAGTAAGCGCTCTGTCCTGTCCTCTTCTCTTAGTCTTTTGCACTTTCTAAATCACCGTCTAAACCCTTTTCCTCTTTGCCAGGTACAACCGAGACTGGCGCTTCCACAAGGACGAGCGGGTCTGGATCACGCGTGCGGGCATCTCGCCGACGGAGAAGACGTCCACGTACGAGCGGGGAACATACTTCTTCTTCGACCCGGTCAATTGGCGCAAGGTGGCCAAGGAGTTCCACCTGGACTACGACCGGCTCGAGGAGAGACCACAGCACTACTCGCAGCTCGGGCCCTAGGTGCCGACCCCGAGGGCCAGTCGTCTTCATTGCCATCGTCGTCGTCGTCGGAAGCGTCGCCTCCTCCCTCTTCCGGGACCCCTGCCTACGGACGGTTCACTCAACGGCTGTGCGTTCAGCCTCGGTCGTGTCTCTCCGCGTCGCACCAGGTTTTCCGTTTCGTCGAAGGCAACCCTCCGCCGCACGTCGCATCGCGCGTCCCGCACGGCACGTCCTGCGGCCGCCGGTGTTTCGTTCGGGATTTCTGCGTCTGGTCTTTGCCCCCGGTTGATGATTCGATGACGGTTGGGTTTTTTTTTTGTTTCCGATTCGTCTCGACCCTTAGCTCTTGGTTTCTGTGGTGTACGGTTTGGTAGCAGCGAAGTCTCTGTTCCATCGGGGTCGTTTCCGAAAAGTTACGACTTCGTTACGGCAGAGTTTCTGTTCTGCTACGATTCATTCTTTCAAAGATTAAAAAGCGGTTGCCGAGTGCAGGCCTACGTCGGTGGAAAATGGGCGTCGTCTTGCTCTCGTCAGCAATGAGTTTAAGTTAAGATGACCCTTTAATGACTTCTACAGTTTTTGTTTTGTCCCAGCTCTCGCTTTTCTAAATCGGCTACGCTTTAATTTAAAATGGCTTTAGTTCCTGTTCTGTCAGTTCTCCAGTTCCCTCTTTGTTTCAGAAACAACTGGTATCATGGAATTCTTTTGTTTTCATTTGTAATTTTGTTGATTTCAGTAGCAGGCGGAGATTGCGAGTTGGTTGGCTCGTTGGCAAGGGTTGCAAATCGGTACTGTGGTTTAGTTCCTCGGCCAACTGTTGTGGTCAGTCGTAATGGCAAAAGGTTGTTCAAGTGTAATGCGGTTGTGACTGCTGCTGTTAAGGAGGGAAGCGAAATTCATGAATCTTGGAGGTAAGGGAGGAGACGCGGAGGACATCTGCCAAAAAGAATTCAGTTTGAGATTAGCTTGCTTGTGGTAGTTTGTCTACCAGCTCTTTTGAGTTCTCGACCGTTGCCGTTTTGAAACGTTTTTGCGTGACCGGTTTTTGCGCGAGTCATTTCGTGTTATTTATGGACGAAACAGTTCTTCTATGTGGACGAAAACAAAAATTATAATAAACCTTATTTTTTAACACTGTTTGCAGGAATGCGCGCAGCCTTGTTTGTAGATTATTTGTTTTTGGGTGGGAAGGGAGACCAGTTGTTTAAGTTTGGGGTTAACCGTTCGGTGGGCTTTCGTTTTGCGGGCCTTTCTCGGATCTAGTTTGTGCAAGGACGTAGTGGTTGCCTCAACCTGTGCTGGAAGCGACTGGATTGGCTAAGCTAAGGCTGTGGACGGCCGAAGACGAAAGCAAGCGCCAAGCCGTGCCGAGACAAAGGCCGGGGGAGGAGGTGTCCCCACTGGTAGCTCGGACAAAACATGATGTACATAAGCCTTCCTTAATTATTTTCAAAATGTGTACAAAGGAGCGGCCTTGATACATAGTTGCTTGTCAATAAAGAAGGATCTCTACAATGGCCTCCCGTCTCTCTTGATTGCACTATGCTCTGGGTGCAGAAAGGGACATGCTCAAGAAACAACAACATGGGTAAACTACTGACCCCCTAGAAGTAATGCCAAAGTTCAAATCCGGCACACTTGACGTGCACACAAATGCGTGCTTCAGAGTCTGCCAGATGGTTGTACTATTTGTACTAATAGGATGAGATGCTAATGTGTAAAAACTTGTAAATGGAGTAAATTTTAGAAATAAAAGACACCAGGGTTTTGTCTATGAGGACGCTGGGCACAAAGCAAGCGGAGGGCATTTGTTTTTCTCTGGGTTTGTCTGATGGCCCCACCCTTGCGAACAGTCGGAAAACGTATGCTTGATACGTTTTCTGCCAAGGCACGGACAAGATCATGTGCATGTTCGCTGGTCATCCACCGTGGATGACCAGCGAAGCTGTTTAGCGCACAGACCCGCCCCGAGGAGCCGGAGAAAACTAGACGCGCGACGGCACCGCCACCCCGGGAGAGCGGAAGGAAAGGGAACTAGGCACGCAAACGCACGGCCGGTCTAGAGCGGAGAGGCGCGCGCCTCTCCGCTCTAGACCGGCCGTGGCAAACGCTTGACACGGCGACAAAGAGAGGCCGGTGCGAGCGTAGACATGGCCGACGCGGGTCGCACAGCGGCAAATCTTTGAGAAACCTTTGTTTTCTACCTGAAAATCTTGATCTTGAAAAGGGTGCCTATTGATAGCTAATTATCTACTGAATAGACCTATTGCTAAATTACCCAAGCATAAATGAGTGCAGGGAATGGTGTTCCCGCGCCGCACGTGTCGGCGTCTGCAGCAGTGACTGTACTAAAGCAAAAGCCTAAAGCAAATGGCATCTTACACGCGCCTTCGTCAACCCTTCATTTTGGTTATTTACTTCAGGTGGTGGTGATGTTGTCTTAATAACTTCGAATCTTTTGTATGATGTATAAGGAAAAAATGGCGGTGAGATACGACTACCTCGCAACGATTTCGCTTTTTTTTATATAAACTTCGTGATAATTGTAGGTACTGATTCAAAAGGTTGGGCGTTATCTTGGATGCGTCTAGTTTTCGCTACCTCTTAGTTTTTGGTACATGTAACGCAGACCACTGTATCCCGTTATGCACCTTGTGATGTAACTTAATTAAAATGCAAGCAAACAATTAGATGTAAAAAAAAAAAAAAAACATCTGGTTTATTTATAAATTCCAACCTTGTTTCAATCTGGTTTATTGACAGATGCCAAGCCTTGAATGGTTAGTTTACACGGTAACTACTTTGCGATGCAATAGCTTCGAGCAGTTTCTTTCGATACGCTACCCTGTCTGTCATGGTCAATGGCCGTACAAACTTCTCTATTAGAATTCTAGAATTTTTGTGTCATGGTCATCTCTTGTAGCACAAATAAAACTCCAAAGAAAATTCAGCTTCGTACAGAAAAAAAAAGAATATATATATATATATAATTTACTAAAGAAAAGCATGTACTTTTTTTAATTACTTTTTTTTTTTTTGTATCTCCGCACGTTGTTCCAAGTAGCTTTATCGCGTTGCTCGCGTCTGCGGCTCTCGCGGAGTGATACGCGATACGCGACCGGCACATCCGGCCATCTTGGCGAGTCGGCGAGCTCTCATGCGAAAGCGAGGGGACGGCGTTTTCGTCAGCCGCTGCGTCGTTTACCGCAATGAATTGACGACTTCACCTCACACGCGATCCGCAGAATCCGCGGGTGCGATTTGTGCAATAAAGGGGGAAACAGGAAACGACGGGACAACGATGACGGCGCCTGCGCGGCTCGTCGCCACACGTCGCACTATTTTCTTTACGCAGCGCGCCGCAGCACGCCACAGCACGCCGCCTCGCATCTGCGCCTTCGCGTCCCCTGCAAAAACAGACCGTAGCTTCCCGCAGTGCTTGGCTCCAGAATGGCACCATTGCGATACTCTACTCCGCAAGCGGAGCATATACAGTTACTCTATTACTACTGGGCAGACATCGCCACCTCGCGGCGAGTGACGGAGTTAGCGCAGTTACACTCGTACCAAGGTTACTACCTCAGTTTTGGAACTCCCGCAAAAGGGAGCTCCACAACCCCCCCTTCCCCTCTCTCACTTCAGTCCGCATCGCGTCGTTTGAAACGCCATCTAGATTTTCGTTTCATACCGGTGTGTTCCTTAGGGTTTGGTGCTAAGACTCAGTGCTCCGAGACGTACGTGTTCCATGGAATACACTGCAGTTACCAGCAGTTGTCCGGCGCGTCAAATGAGGGGAGGCGAATCGTGGTGAGTGAGACGGGGGGCGGTGTTACTGCTTTTGTAAGCAGCAGGAGCAGTTCCGTAACTGAGCTAATTTAATAACGTTGACTCGTACTGCTGGGAAGCGAGTCGAATGAAACGGCCGGGGAAGCCTCCGCGCGCGCGCGCTTTGGGATCTCGGAGGCCATGACCGGAGTGACAACCAAAGGTGTTCTCGTTGGAAGTCGTGGTATGAATCTCGGTATATAAACGATTGCACTTGAAGTTACTTACCGAAGAACGTAATTCACATAACTTGTTTTACGCTATACCAACATTTAGCTCTGTTGAGTTGAGTGGGCTTTTCCTTCTACACGGGTACCGTGCGGAGAAGCATTTCAAGAAAAGAATTGGCTTATGTTTATACAGCCTAGAACATGGTCTGCCTCAACGGGTGACTTGCCTCCCAGCTGTAGTTGAGCGATTTAGCCAGTGCAGTGCAACCACTAACCTGAGGTCTTTAAGGTGCACCACGCAGCACTGATACACGACCGCAAGCCGGTACGATGCTCATCCAAATGAGCATCGTACTGCTCGCGCTGCAGGACCCAGGATCCCTGGGTTCTGTAGCGCGAGCTTTCGCTCCACGTGCTCTGAGCTGGTGTACGCTAGCCCACTAAACCACTTATCCTTTTTTCTTTATTTTTTTTTTATTGCCGGTTTGGAAATGTGCAGAACAAAACGATCACATCGTTAAATTCACTTCATGGAGATCACCAATGCGCGGTCGTAAAATTTAAAATAAGTACACCGAATCAGGCGCACAATCGAAAGCGGCGTACAGAGATTTTGACCTGTAGACAGGTTCTATGAAATACATACGTACGGGTCGGGCGTCCACGTCAGCCTGCCTCACAGCCATTCTATATAATTATCCATATGGCGTGCGGTCGTGTATCACTACTGCGTGGCGCACGTTAACGACCCCAGGCTAGCGGTTGTACTGCACTGGCTAAATTGCTCACCTACAGCTGGGTGACAATGGCATGTAGGCCCAGGAGCATGACTAGATTGACTGGGATTTCAATTTCTTTCTCCACGGGAAGAAACCTAATGCCATATGGGGTGAAACGCAAGTCTTTTTAATAGTTCGCTGGAGGATGTCCCAGAAAAGAAAAGCGTTCCAGCAGTCGATAAAAACATGTTGGATAGTCTCGGGCTTTTTGCACGAAAAACAATCAACGCCCCACGGTACGGAAATTTTTTTCTCCTCTAGCCAAGTTGTGACAGGGAGTGTATTAATGTGTAACAGAGAAAAAACAAAGTTTTAAAGGGATTTCAACGAAATTTGAAATATACCCGTCGTATTCAGAAAGAGGCTGAATATGATCCACAATATCCGTAAATGGCAATCGCACGTTTTAATTTTGAGCCTGATGGCTGTATCTATCGTTATAAACGGCCCGCTCTGGCAAGCGCTTAAACAAGAGCCAGCGGAGAGCACTTCATATCCCGCGCAATCGGGACGAGCAAAGCTGCGGCGTGGCTGACGTCGTCAAGATGCGCTCCAGCTACCGAAGCGGTCGAAGCACGCCAGCGATCGGGCCACCGCAACTTTGGCGTGAATTTTGAGGGACGGGTTTATCTTCTATGATCTCGTAGGGGGAGAATAGCGACGAGTGCGTTCAACTCAAACCGCGGAGAGCGTTTGCAATTAAATGGCGACGTCAGAGATGGCGGATTATACACTTTTTCGCGTTTAAAAAATGCTTATCCTATCGGAACAAAAATGGCGTCTATAGAAAAGTTATTTTATTCTTCGCGTAAAATCTTCAAGCATCTCCGGGGCTGTTTATAACCGGATTTACATTAAAAAAAAAACACCCGTAGCCCCATAGACCCCCAGCAAAATTTGCTATTTAATGGCGCACATAAACACGTACCCCGATCTAGCAGTTGAACACACTCTTACTTGAGGCTCTCTAGGGGGGTGCGTTAACACGCGCCCCCGTTTTTCGCTAAAACGTCGATTGCCCAAATGGCGCTGTTCGCTCAAACGTCACTCGCTCATGTGATAAGGGCCCGTTTAACTCCGTTTTCTTCCAGATGGCGCCAGTTATTTCTAAAATGCTAGATTAGTGTTTCGTGTTCAAAGGAGTTTTTTTTTTTCTTGTGTATTTGTACGGTGTTTTTGTCTAATATGGGTTCATGTACTACACGCATGTTATAATTAGAGCCGCGAAACTAACTGATTAACACTAACCCATCAATTTACGTAGTAATCGCCGGTAAAACAAAAAAAAAAAAAAATTGCATCGCAGCAAGCTGAAACTCTATGATTACGTGACGCTACCGGTGATGTTAAAATGCGAAAGATGGAGCACATGAGGTTACCTGGATCAAAAGATACTAAAGAGAAACAAAATTCAAACCAAGTCTTGAGGTTAAAACTTGCTAACATGAAAAAAAAAGAGAAAAAAGAGAGAAAAAGTAAACGGTATTGTCTTTTTACGTGGTCAGTTTTTCCACTGAAATAACGGCTACAGGCTTCCACAGTTTCAAATTACGGATCGGTGAATATAGACCCCTCAGAGAAAAAAGCGCCACCTGTCGTATACGCAACGGCAACCAGAGCCAGCCGCCACGCTGCAAAGTTGTGGTGCGTCGTTGCGTATACGCTGCTGTAGACGCTCTAGTCTGACTGCGTCAGTTCCACGGCCCACAATGCCAACGTACTGCTGCGTACTTCTCTG